TAATGTGTGATTATAAACATTTCGAAAATATTAACTGATAGCATACATCTCTGGAGAGATCGTTTTCCTGTTGGTGGTCAATAATGCTAGGAGAGAAATCAGCAAAGCCTGTTTTCTCAGGCACTTCCGCTTCATCCCAATTGCTTGCATTGCGCTGCTGGGAGTCAACTCTTGATTCAAAGGCCAAGTAACTCTGTGAAGTGTCTCCGGATTGGCGTTTGGTATTTAACCATTCCGAGCTACTAACGAGTGGACCTATCTCCTCAGTTGGTTGGTCAACTCCGATAGGATCGACGGCAAATTTGTCCTGATTGTTTACCTCCACTTCGGCCGTAGTGTCTGTTAAATTAGCCTGCTCATCGAGGGCAGAGAGTGGTTCGAAATGCACCTGAAAAATATTCTCATCTCCTGAGTCCGTTGATTTACCTAGATTAACCTCATTCTGCATGGATTCTGCGGCTTCGCTTCTACCTCCTGCTCCGGAAGCAGAAACATTTGTAAATTCCTCTTCACACCAATCATTAATTTCAGGTTGAAAATTGAAATCATCATGCTTCATGCCTCCTTGGCATACGAAAGTTGACTCGCTTTCTGAATTGCGATATCCTAGAAGTTTCGAGGGTGGCGTTTTTTGCTCAGTCTTGGAATTAGAAAGTAGATCATTCAAAGTCGTGTCCTTTTTCAGTTTATTTTTAGCTTCTAATTCCATTTTATTAATATCCAGGACCTCTGTTTCTACTTTCGAGGAATTATTGAAAACAGATAAAGGAACCTTTAGGTCACAATGAGTTTCTGTTCCCATCTTAGCCGAAATTTTTTCTTTGCTTGAGCAAGAGGTCTGAACATTTGAAGAAATATCGCTCAAATCGCAAGTCTTCCGTTGGTTGGTTCCGTTATTCTCGAATAACTTTTCTAATTGAGATCCGTCATCAACTGGATCATTCCCGAACTCTTCATCTCTATTCGTCTCCGCAGAAAAAATTTCCCTCGCAGAGCACAAGTCTTCAGACTGCACTTCAATTTCCAATTTCGGCAGTAATTTAAAAGCTTCCTGCTTGCTTTCCTGCCGATCGGGTTCCCCGATCCCCTGCTCAATACCATTCAGCCTTTCTGGCGCCTCTTTATCGGATTCTGTTGTAAGTAGATTACTAGGAACTTCAGATTGAGATATTTGCTCCAGCTCAGATTTATATTCGTGAGTAGTTAAAGCAGAATGAGGATGTGCATTGCTATTTGTTTGATTGATGGTGGTGGCCAAGTCCAAGTTATCCATTTGAGAACCGATTTGATTAACTAAGCTACTCGACTCAGCATCACCTTGGCTATTCCCATCATCCGATTCACCCACTTCCCAATTAACAGGTTCCTTAATTTGAAATTCAGAGCTAAGTTTAGTAAAAGAATCACCACGATCTAGCTCATCTTCCTCTTCAGTAATGCCATGCACTATTAATTGCTCTTTTTTCGGTTGCTCCAACTGTAAGTTGAAAGAATCAGGGGCATACTCCTCCAATCCAGGTTGATCAAAATCAGTCCAATAGGCCTCATTCCTTGAAATATGTGCAAGATTTGATTCAGAACAAAGAGAAGGCTCTATAGCTGAACCTTTATTTTCAGTGAGTAAAGAGCCTGTGGGAGTCATTTCTTCTATTCTCGACTGCAGCTGTTCCATTTCTTCATCATCAGAGTCGCTTAATGAGAAAGTTGTTGTCTCTGGCTTTTCTAATGAAGTAAGATCATTGATATTACTGTAATTGGGTGTTGATTCAGTTAGATTTGAATCCGGAAACGCACCTTCTCGGCTTACATCAGAGAATCTAATGCTATCAAGTGGTGGTACTGGCGGATCTTCCATTCCAGTTTCTTTAAAATCACTCCAAGTCCCGTTGTTTTCAATTTTAAGTGCTTCTGTAACAACTCCTGGCGATTGATCAGTAGATACTATATTTGCTGCAGAATTAGCAGCTTCCGAAAGAGGTTGGACAATTATTTCAGAAGAACTTTCATCATGAGCTCTATTCTCATGAACCTCTCTCAGCTGTTCTTCGACATCCACGATATCTTCATTAAGCACTTCGTTGCCTGTCCCTGACCCAGCGGTTTTCCAACCAGAGCTTTGCAATAAATTACCTTTACCTCCGTTTGAACTTGAAAGTGTATCAGAAGCTAGCACGTTTTTAGCCTCATTTGTAGAAGAGTTCATTAAATTTTCGGATTTCGGAATTTTATCGGTAATGGTCTCCTCATTGGATATGTGCATTGCCTGAAGCAACGAATAATCGGTTCTCATTGGCATCTTCTCTAGGGCTTCTTCACCAATTGTAGTGTCCCTTCTGAATTGAATAAGTTCATCAACCAACTGATCACTCGATAGACTCTTGATGAAATCGTCACGAAAGTTGGAAGTAGATCCGCCTCTGTTCGATTCAAAAACGTCTTGAGAAAGAGGAGTATTTCTTCCGGGTTCCAACTTCACATTAACAACTTCGGTTTTGGGCCAATCATTATACTCTTCCATTTTTTCATCAGGCCCTCCAAAAGTTAATGCGATGGAAGCTTCTTCATTTTTTTCGAAAGAGGCAGATTCACCTACAACTATTGAATCCGCCACATTCTCTAAATTTGCAATATTTTGGCATAGAGTTGGACCATTAATGCCCTCGTTTTCTTCTCTCACTTCATTGGTCACTTTAACAGACTCTTTCCCATGCTGCTCTGTTTCTCCTGGGGGTATTTCTGATCCGAGATCTTGTTCCACTGAGGTATTACTACTTTTGACTTTAAGCTCAACAGATTGTTCAACAAAGTTGTCACATTCGATTGCAGTGGCAATACCCTGAGTAAATGGTATTTCCATATTGTGTAAAGATGAAATTTCAGGTTGTTCCTTCTCTGAGACAAAGGTGCCTTGAGTGCTCCCGCTTTCCCGCTCTACGTCCACCCAATAAGCCTGTTTATTTCTGCATGAATCCGATGGTAATTCCTCCACATCATGTTCTTCCAGACCAGTTGCAACGTTAACTCCTTTAGTAGTAGATTTTGGAGGTGAATGTCCCAATGAGTTAAACAAAGAATCCTCCGATTCACTTACTTCCACCTCTCTACGAATGAAGTCATCGGGTTGAACAGGATTATAAAATGAATCCTCCATTTCTGATGTCATCTCGGCATTGCGATATTGTTGCATAACTTCTTTCAACAAATCTTCCGAACTGGATTTCTCTTGGCTTGTTGTCATGACGTTGAAAGTATTTGCATTAGGTGTGAGATAAGAAATTTCATTTGGGATTTCCGAGTCAGGATTAGCTGAAATCTTCATCTCAATATTTGAATGAGGTTCTCGCCAGATTTGGTTCTCACTTTCCAAATTGAATTCACTCAAAATCATTTCATCCGATTGCGAAGTTTTATCTCTAGGTAAGGACTCCTCCGGTTGAAAGTGTGGTTCATAGTTTTCAGCCGCAAAGGAAGAATTAGTCTTTTCAATTTGGCTGTTTTCCGTAGCGAAAATGTCTTTTTCAATTATTTCTTGTTGGTATGAATCTAATGCAACGGCCTGTAGCGATGATTTATCATCGGGAACCGAAAAGGGGATTGAGTCATCGTGAGCTTGTGGAATCCGATATTCTAAATCACCCTGATGGTAAACACTAGATTCATCAGTTTCCGCAAGTGATGGTTCAAAGGAATTTTCATATTTTCGATTCACAGTTTCACTAGTAGGCTCACTATGTTCCTGCAGGAATGCTTCAAATTCCATCGGTGGTTCATCTCCAAGGCCTTCGAATGCCATACCGCCATTGGAATTTTCTTTCGGCAATGTTAATTCCTCAAAAACTTGATCCGAATTTCCCGACTTAATGGGGACCTCCTCACCGGGATTCTGCATTTCTTGTTGGAATAGAGTACTAGGTTCTTCGGTCACCGTCTTGAAGACTGGAGCCTCTTTATCAGGAATTTCCTCCGTGGTCATTTCCGAATGCTGGTTGCTAGACTCCTGATTCTTTGAAATATCTACTTTCTCAGAGGTTGCTAAATCAAGTTGAACTGCATTTTGTAATTGCATGGTCAGGTGTATCGATTGAAGTTCGAATGGCGAATCGTTTGCCACAGTAGGTATATCTAGTGGTACATCCTCAAGTTCAAGTGACCCACGGGGTGATACGTAACCTGGGGGTCTAGGAGGGTCTAGAAGTATTTCTTTAATCTCCTCTTCTTCATTTTTACGGTTGCTGATATCATCTGGCATAGGTGGGGAAGACACTCTCTCGACAGCTTTTTGGATCTTCGGGGAGATAGCATGATTCTCGCTGCCTGTTGTTAGATGGCAATCTGGCTCTGGTTGTAATTGAATACTTCGATTTCTTCGAAGATATTCAGTGAGTTCCTTAAGGCAAATGTGCCTCATTTCATTCTCCTAGTAATTAGACAGAATCAAGCTTACATTTTCTCAAGTTAGGCAAGCATTATAGCCATTCATTAATTAGATTTACCTCTGGTGTAGATATGTTAGTATTGTGAGCGTCGAAAAGTAGAGAGTGTAGAGATCTATTAACTTTGAGGGTACGAGTGATAGCCATTATACCGGCTACGTTGATAGGGTTCTGTCGAATATCCAGTATCACAAGGGATTTGGTTTCACCAATGTACCCTGAGAGAGCAAAGGCGCCTAGGAAAGGGATGAAATAGAAGGCTAGATTGACTTGAAGTAGGAAAGATAAGACATTCCATTGAAATGGTATTGTCAAGGTTAACTCTACAAGCAAACAAGTCCCTTATACATATATCTCAGTCAGAATTTTCATTACCTAAATAGAATTCAATGTCACTAAATTCCCATCCAAAGCCCCTTGCCTTCATGACATGCTATTTAAATTTAACTCCATAGAAACACAAAAAAAGATCAGCAATCACTTCAACAAATTCGGTTTGTGATAGACGTCTTCACATATTGTTTCCATTGCATCTGTCATCAGTCATCTGGATGACTGAGGAAATTCTTCTTCACCCATATATAATAACCGGCGTTCCCGTTTTCCACTATTTTTCTCATCCAACTGTTGAAAAGGGTAGAATGATGTTACATGGTAATAGGCAGCCTACGCAATTTTAAACAAACAGAACACTAAGAGAGCTAACAAGTGTTTAAGAGGGTGGCAGTTAAGTCATCAGCCCTTCGTGTCGTTTTCCTGCCAAGATGAGTACTATGAAAAATTGCCATCGATGTGAATTAATCGATATATATATATATAGATATACGCCTGCGCAATCATAAGCAGTAAAATCATAACAACCCCCC